TAAGGTCTTTTCACGAACCATCATGAGAATTTGGGGGGGGGGGCTGAAGCCCCTCAAGCCCCCCCCCTCCCCCGGCTACATGCCTGGCCCAGCCCATTTCAAATAGTCCAGGCCCCTTATTGAAATCTTTGCCCCTGGCAGCTCACCTTATATGAAGAAGAGAGAGGAACTGGTTTTAAATTGATTTTAATGTATATGTTGTGTTAACAGTTTATGCCTATGTTTTTGTTTTATATTTTATGTTTTCTGTATTATTTTGCATATGTGGAAACCACTCTGAGTCCCCTAGGGGAGATAGGGCAGTATATTAATAAAGTTATTATTATTATTATTATTATTATTATTATTATTATTATTATTATTATTATTATTATAGAAGGAATGCAGAGTGCCACAAGCCATCCTATGCACCTTCCCTTTCTCCGGCAACTGGTGCCATGTGAGGAGTTCCTAAGAGAGTGTGATTTGCCCAAGGTTACTAAGTGAATTTCCAACTCTGAACAGGATTCAAACTCTGTTCTCCAGAGTGGTAGTCCAACACTCAGACCAGTATGTCATCTTGACTCTCTCTCTTTTAATCTGCACACCTCAAACATTTCACTAGGAGATGCAATTTGCCATACTGCTCAATTTTAATTCCTTTTCACCTGATCAGTCCAGTCGTGGCCTTTTTCTCAAAACCAAACACCTCCTGCTTATAGGGAGAACCAACTCATAGATGTCTTTGAAATACACAAAAGGGTTAAGATGGAGCAAAATGACCAATTACTCCTGGAGGTTTCACAGAATAGTAGTGTCATCTTCATTTTGATAAAAACAGAGATTTGGCCCTTGCGGGAGCTCAGAAATAGCCTTTGGATGATGTATTTTGCCTTCCCTTGTCCTAAGGATTAACATATTACCGCATGTAATAAATTTAAGATGTTAAAATATAGAAGGAAATAACCATCTTAGTATGTTGCAGCAAAAGTAACAAGAAGTTTTGCAGCACTCAAGAGGTTTTTAATTTGATGTTACATAAAGTTCTGACCCACTTCATCACCTGCCTGTAATGGCAGATGTTTATACACCAGCTCATGTAGGAGTGCGGTATATGGGAATAAAGAAATTCAAAAGGTAGACAGAGATTTTTTTTAATTTGTTTTAGTCATTAACACTGTTATCAGAAGGTTTGAGTCATTAACATATTGTAGCAAAGTGAGCTGGAGATTTGCTCACAAGCCCTTCTTGCCCAGAGGCGAACCCACCAAAACTGGAAAAATCTGGGCATTTGTGCCCAAGCCTGGAGTTGATTTACAATCCGTAGAAACTCAGGGCCAGGCCATCCTAATTCACCCTCCGTCACACACTGTCCAGTAGTGAGAAGAAGGAAAGACCAGTCAAAAGTATTTCACTGCCTGAGGCAAAGAAGCACATAACATCCAGCACACGCCTAAGTGATGTGTTTAAGTGGATTTAATCATCTTGGCCGATCACGTCATAACTGGCCCTGGAGGCAGAAAATCCCACACATACCTCACCTCCTTTGCTAACAGCAAAAATGCAAATATAATACACAGGATAACTCGAGATTTGCTGTGTCCCCTATCCCTACTGTCTGAGTTACATGATGTGGGAGTGGAGTTGTGTGCCTTATACACTGGATTGCAGCTCTCAGCATTCCTTGTTGCTGTGTGCCTTCAGGTCATTTCTCACTTATGGAGACCCTAAGGAGAATCCAGCATGGGGTTTTCTTAGCAAGATCAGAAGGGTTTTGACACTACCTTTCTCTGAAGCAGGAATATTCTGACTTGCCCAAGATCACCCAGTGGATTTCCGTGGCTGAGGGAGGATTCAAACCCTGGCCTTCTGAATCAGAATCCAATGCTCAAACCAGTACACCATTCTGGCTCTCATCCTGAACTCTTCCATTCCTAGAAGGCTGCATGCATCTATCAATGTGTTGTGCCCTTGGGCTACCTTTACAACATGTTCTGAAACTCCAATTAGTTCAAAGCATAGCAGGCAAATTGATCATTAGTACATCTAGGAACAGTTGTACGACACCAATATTAAAATCACTCCACTGGCTGCCAAGTAATACAGGTTAGGCATCCCTGATTCGAAATGCTTGTGATCAGAAGTGTTTTAGATTTTGGATTTTTTTATGGATTTTGGACGTATGCATATAATGAGAGTTCTTGGAGATGGGACCTAAGTCTAAACATGACATTCATTTATATTTAGTGTACACCTTAGACCAGATGTAGACCAGGCGTGGGAAAACTTTGGTCCTCTGGGTGTTTTGGACTTCAGTTTCCACAATTCCTAACAGTGAATTGTGAAAGTTGAAGTCCAAAACACCCAGAGGGCTGAAGTTTGCCCACGCCTGCCTGCCTTAGACACATAGCCTGAAGGTAATTTTATACATTGTATTTTAAACAACTTTGTGCATGACACTAAACCATGGGAAAAGACCAGTGTCACGCTTGCAGTCACCCATATGGCCAATTTTGGAATATATTCTAGAAGGCTTTCATGGCCAGACTCAATGGGTTGCTGTGTTTTCCAGGCTGTATGGCCATGTTCCAGAAACATTCTCACCTGATGTTTTGCCCACATCTATGGCAGGCATCCTCAGAGGTTGTGAAATCTGTTGAAAGCTAGGCAAGTGGGGTTTATATACCTGTGGAATGTCCAGGGTGGGAGAAAGAACTCTTGTCTGTTTGAGGTAGGTGTGAGTGTTGCAATTGGCCACCTTGAATGACCTCGCAGTTTCAAAGTCTAGCTGCTTCCTGCCTGGGGAATCCTTTGTTGGGAGATGTTAGCTGGCCCTCATTGTTTCTTGTTTGGAATCCTCCTGTTTTTGAGTGTTGTTCTGTATTTACTGTTATAATTTTAGATTTTTTAAAATACTGGTAGCCAGATTTTGTTTTTTTTTTATGGTTTCTTCCTTTCTGTTGAAATTGTCCACATGCTTGTGGATTTCAATGGCTTCTCTGTGTAGTCTGATATGATAGTTGTTAGAGTGGTCCAGCATTTCTGTGTTCTCAATTAACCTTCACACTTGCCTCAAACAGACAAAAGTTCTTTCTCCCACCCTGGATATTTCATAGATATAAAAACCCCACTTGCCTAGTTTCCAGCAAACCTCACTAGGCAAGTGGGGTTTATATATCTGTGAGATGTCACAGACCTCACATGGAGCCCCCAGTAGCACAGTGGGTTAAACCCTTGTGCCAGCAGGACTGAAGACCGACAGGTTACAGATTTGAATCCAGGGAGAGGGTGGATGAGCTCCCTTTGACAGCTTCAACTCCCCATGCGGGGACATGAGAGAAGCCTCCCACAGGAGGGTAAAACATCAAAACATCCAGGCATCCCCTGGGCAATGTCCTTGCAGACAGCCAATTCTCTCACACCAGAAACGACTTGCAGTTTCTCAAAAAAAAAGACCTGGGGTGTCACCCATCCTCTATCTGTGCCAGGCCTGTAGCCAGGATTTTGATTCGGGTGGGTGAAAAGAGGGTCTGAGTGAAAGAGGGTCTACCCTAGCAAACCTTTTGTATCATTACCCCAATACCCCCATGCATATGAGATATATTGAGCATGGTGATCAGATCATGATATGAATAAACATAATAGTTTAAATAATGTACCAGTAAGGCCTTTTCGCGAACCACCATGAGAATTTGGGGGGGGGGGGCTGAAGCCCCACCCCCCCCCCCCCCCCCCCCGCTACATGCCGGATCTGTGCAATTCATTTCATTGCCTAAGTGAAGTTTCTTACATTTCTCCCTGTTAAAATTCATTTTATTAGTTTTGGCCCAGCTCTTGAATCTTGATCCTTTCTTTTGAATGGCACTGGTTCCAAGAAAGAATCATGTAGTGCCACACTAGTCACCTCTCTCCAGAATGAGGAGAAGCCATACTCTCTTGGGCAACGTCCTTGCAGACGGCCAATTCTCTCACACCAGAAGCGACTTGCAGTTTCTCAAGTCGCACCTCTCACACACAAAAAAGCAGACCTTACAACCTCTCAGGATGCCTGCCATAGATGCAGGCGAAACATCATGAGAGAATGCTTCTGGAACATGGCCATACAGCCCAGAAAACTCACAGCAACCCAATTTTGAAGTAGTTTGGCTTTCAGAATTGCAGGTACTCAACCTGGATTTATTATGATTAGAAACTCAGTCAACTTTTCCCTCCCATCTAGGACCTGCTGACCCACCAAGGTGTCCTTCTGAGGACCTGCCCCCATTTCTAGAGGAGGCAGGGAAGCCCCTCTTTGTGCGGGTTCCAGCGAGAAGAGGGTGGGCGAGTGGGCCAGGATCATGCCCGGCCTTGCCTTGCAGGAATGCGGAGGCGGTGCCCTGCAACTCAGGCCCCTGCCCGGCTTCCCCTCCCTGCCTCTGCCTCTGCCTTTCCCGGGCTTGCTTCTTTTCCTCCTCCTCTTCTTCCTTCCCGGGATCGCCTTGACTGGGCCGCAGGGGGCGGTGTGGCCACGGCGCCTTTTCCACGGACCTTGTCCAATTCTCCCCTCCCTCCTTGCCTTACGCCGTCTGCGTGGGGAGGGCTGCTTGGCCTCGTCCGACTCCCCGGCTTCCCCGCCAAGCCCTGCGCCGCCGGCGTAAGCTCCGGGAAGTTTGCGGTGCCATTGCGAGGCAGGAGTTGGTGGCGCGGGGAAGGGAGGAGAGAAGAGAGGAGAGGAGGAGGAGGAGGGAATCCCTTCTCTTCGCATTGGCTGCTCCTTCGCCCGCCGAAGAAGGGGGCGAGGTGGGGCTAAAGGGAGAGGGAGGCGGCCCCACCTTTGGGGAGAGCCAGAGAGAGGGGGGCCTCCGAGGGAAACTTTGGGAAGTGGCGGAGGAGAGGGTCCCCTTTAAGAGCCTGGGAGCATCTGGAGCCAGGCAAGGAGGGAGTGCTGCTTAGAGGAGCAAGTGGAGAAGAAGGAGGAGGAGAAGTCTCTTGGTCTTGCCTGTAACGCGTGTCGCCTTTCTCTCCTTGTCTCCCTCCTCCAGGATGGCATGGATTTAGGCAGCGACCCCTGCAGCAGCCGCTCCAGCTCGGAATCCAGCTCCAGCAAAGCCACCCCCTGCTCGGAATGCAAGTCCTCCCCGTCGCCCACCAGCCTGGACCTGGCCGCCCTGGAGGACTCCGAGGAGGAAGGAGAGGAAGAGGAGGAAGGAGAAGAAGGCTTCCAGGTGTACCGCAAGAGGAGAGAGATTGATGTGTGGGAGGAAGACGAGGAGGAAGAGGAAGAGGAGAAAGAGGAGGATGGGAACGATGCCTCCCCAGCCCGGTGGAGTGTAGCCCAGGAGCCCCAGGAGGGGAGGAGGAGGAGGAAGAGGGGCCCGGCCATGCCGCCCCCGGCCCCCCAGGGCCACCCACCGCCCCCACACCACCCTTTGCACCCCCTGCACCCTCACCCCCTGGACCTCCGGCACAATGCCAACCTGGGGGTCTCGCCCCTCCACCGCAGGACTGGGCAGCCCCGGGCCCCCCGCCCCCAGAAGGGCCAGCCGGGCAAGCTCAGCAATGGGAGGCCCCCGCCTGTCTCTTTGGAGGTTCCCTCGGGGGGCCTGAAAGTGGAGCAGGAGGAGGCCCAGCTGCCCACTATGGACTGGGAGGCGCTGGAGAGGCACCTGGCCGGGCTGCAGTTCCAGGAGCAGGAGAGCCAAAAGAACCAGAGAAGCAACTACACCTCAGTAAGGAGACCCTCTTTCCTCTTCTCCCCCCTCTCTCCCCACCATTGAAATGTGCCAGATCTGTCTGTGGGGGAAACTGAGCAGGGAAGTGTTAATGTCAATGGAATTATGACTTAGCTGGGAGAGGAGACGGTGAGTCACTTCCCTTCGCAGAGGGAGAGCTTGCTTCCTTTCCCATAGAAGGCAATTTGCAGCCGGGCAGCTGTGGTACTTGGGGCCGGGATGCTCGGCGCCCTCCCTCCTCCTCCTCCTCCCTCTGGATGGGTCACCAACCTTGAAGCTGCATAGTGTGTGTGTATGCATTGTCTGGGAGGGAGAATGGCTCTCTTTGAGTCAGCTTTGCAAAGAGAATCGCTGCCTCTTGTCCTTTTGTTCCTCCAGGGAAGGAGATGCTTGACCCTGGCCTTGCCTGGCCTGGCAGATTAAGGAGTGGCAAGGAATAGAGCCAGTGGCCACCCTATATGTGCCAAGAAAGAGGGGGGCACAAGGGGAAGGAGGGAGGGATGGGGATTCCAAACTACTTCCTGTCTCCTATCCGGGGGACACCTGGCTGCCTTCAAAGAATCCAGACAGTGTGGTGTCATCAAGAGAGGAGGAGGAGGAGGAAATAGCAAAAACATTAGCAGGCATCCTAGCCAAGCTGGTACATGTCCCAGGGCGGTTTTGCCCCAGCGAAAAGGGTTTGTACCATTTAGATGTCTCTTTTTCCTGTGGAACAGCTGGCTTTTGGAGGGGAGTTGTGTTGTCTTTGCAATATGCACCTTGGCCTGTTTGGGATGCCTCCTTTAATCTGGCTAATGACTATGCAAATATCACGGCTGTGTGCTTGCCATGTTGATACTTTGCCTTTGGGCGTGATTTGAGAAATCCGGAGCCTCCAGCTTCTGGAGATTGGGTGCAGTGCACTTTGACTTTCAGGCAGGAGGATAAGTAACTTCATTTTGCAGTGTAATTGGCATAGCTGCTTCCAGCAAGAGAAGGGCAAAGGCAAGAGGACTTGTTTCCTTTCTTTCCCTAATTGGATAGAACTGGTGCTAAAGATCCAGGTTTTCCTCATGCGTCCCTTCACTGTCTCTCTCTTGGCGTTTAGTAGCATTGCCAGGCTGGCCTCTCCCACAACTCAGCATCCACTGTATTCCTCTAAGTAGAAATATGGAGGGGGTTATCTCTGCAAGATTGAAAGGGAAAACATGTCTCTCTGGAATCCCTGTTTGTATTTTAAAGCCCTTTTAAAAAGAAAGAAAAACATGACATGTAAAGTTAGATAAAACCAGCTGTACAACCCAGCATTTGTCACTTTAATAGTAAACTGTTGTGAGGTTTAAATTCAGCCATGAGGGATGCTGATGACACTGCATTTTAAATATGCTGTAGCTCTGGAGAGATTTTTTTGTGTTTGAGGAAAGGCTATTTTGCCTGGAGATAATAGAATTCAGAGAGATAACCAAAGAACTGCAGTGCCTGGTTTTTCAAGCTGCTGTGACAAGATTTCCTGTGTTTCCAAGATTTGCATTCTATCAATGGACTACTTCCAAATTGCTTAACATATTACTTATAACTATTCTTTCTTTACAGATGTCTTGGGCAGGTATTCTATAGCTGCATCTTTGATTACACTTAAAACAAAATACACCATTATTTAAGACAAGTAGGAGTTTGATAGTGAGTTGGGCCAAAATGTACCATATATTAGTCTGATAATCCTGACTTAGAATTTGAACCCAAGACCCTACTATATAAAGATTCTACATTAACTCTTCATTGCTGTTGTCTGCTTTCAAGTTGTTTCCAACTTATGGCGGTCCTAAGGTGAACCTACCACAAGGTTTTCCTGGCATGATTTGTTTAGAGCAGTCATTCTCAAACTCTGCCCCTGCAGATGTTTTGGACTTCATGTCCCACAATTCCTAAAAGCTGGTAAGCTGGCTAGGATTTCTGGGAACTGAAGTCCAAAACACCTGGAGGAGCACAGTTTGAGGAACATGGGTTTAGAGCAGCGGTTCTCAACCTTTGGGTCCCCAGGTGTTTTGGCCTACAATTCCCAGAAATCCCAGCCAGTTTACCAGCTGTTAGGATTTCTGGGAGTTGAAGGCCAAAACATCTGGGGACCCACAGGTTGAGAACCACTGGTTTAGAGGAAGTTTGGCTTTGCCTTCCTCTAAGGTAGTAGTTTCCAACCTGTGATCCGTGGATCACCAATGGTGCTCAGGAATGAATATTATAGCATATTCTTCCTGAAAAATGGTTCAGAAATTGAGAAACTGATATGACAGTTTTGTGATGTTAGTTTCATGCAGGATATTAATATCAGGTATTCTTGACAACCGGGGACCTTGTCAGAAATGAATTGAGTAGAAGTCATACCTTAAATGTTGTATCACATTTTGCCATGGCATGTTTTTAAATGATGGAAGTCGGTAGTTCTGTCAGGATCAGTCCCCCACAACTCAAATGAAAACTTCCTAAGACTGCCTGTCATATGTACAAGCAAGGATATCACACAGTGAGAACAAAAAAGGTCACTTTATAGAAAAAGCATTATGTTTGAGCATTATGATTGAAGTGTGATGTATGAAATTACACTGATGGTAGCTGCTCTGTGACAGAAATTTCAAATCTCGCAAGAACTCATTTCCAATATATGCATGTGATCCCACTTGTTTTGCATTTCTGGAACATGCTGTATACCAATAATGAAATTGCCAGGAAATAGTAATTTTACCCCAAGGAGTGGTTTTCTCACTTCAGATGGAAGATAACCATTGGTGATGCCAAAATAATGAGAATTCTTCCAGTGGAGAACTTGATATTTTTTGTTCCAGCTAATAGTTGATATTTCATGTTCTGCTATATTTATTAATTTTTATTATTGCTACTCACAATGTACAGTCCTTTATGTGTCTAGTCAGAAGTGAAGCCAACTGACTTCATAGAATTGTAGAGTTGGAAGGTGCCTCATGGATTATCTAGTCCCACCACCTACTCAATGCTGGATCTCCAGCTGAAGCGTCTTCAATAGGTCCAGCTTCTTTTGAAGATGCCCAGAGAAAGAGACCCCAGTTGGTTCCATTGATGAATTCCTCTTAGTGTCACAAAGTTCTGTGTAATGTTCAATCAAAACCTACTGTCCTGTAACTTCAGACTTGGAGAAGCCTATTGCATAAATCTCACACTATTCATGGAAGGAAAACAGCATAGGAGCCGATTTGCACAGTCATTCTTAAGTTAGATCTATAGTTATGCTGAAATTGTTTATGATTAGTAGATCTGAAGTGCGGGTCCTGAATACCTAAAGCACCAGACTCTAATTGATCTTGGAAGATAAGCACAGATAGTCCTGGTTAGTACTTGGGTGGGAGACCACTATTAAATACCAGGTGCTCTATGCTGTATTTTAGAGGAAGAAACTGGAGGATCCATCACTAACTATTCTTTATTACCTTGAAATACCAGATCTGGCCATGGGTAGTCCAGTTACATCCCATCTGAATTACTGCAATGTGCTCTACATAGGGCTGCCTTTAAAGACTGTTTGGAAGTTTCCGCTGAGCCATAAATCAGCAGCTGGACTTCTAACTGGGGTGCCGTACAGGGAGAGAATCACTCCCATGTTATGACAGCTCCATTGGCTACCAGTCTGTTTCTGGGCGAAATTCAAAGTGCTAGTCATTACCTTTAAAGTTTGGGCCCAGACTATTTGGCTAACCACAACTCTGCATATGAGCCTCCCAGGGGGCTGTGGTCAACGGATGAGGCCCTGCTCTCGGTCCCACCCCTGTCCCAAGCATGGCTGGTGGGAATGAGAGAAAGGGCCTTCTCCATAGTCAACCCCCACCTTTGGAACTCCCTCTGTAAGGAAATTAAAATGGTCTCATCTTTACTCTCTTTCAAAAAAAGTTCAAGACCTTTTTATGCTCACAAGCATATAGAGAGGAAGACATATAAACATGGGGCACAACCAAAATGGAATGGAATATGAAATGGCATATTCTTCTAACATTTGATACTTATTGGCTTAATTTTTAAGTCTTGTTTTTAACTGCTTATTTGTCTTAACATTAATTTTTAGTAGTGTGATGCCCAATTTGTTGTAATTTTTATTATTATTTGATGTTCATGTTTAATGTGTTATGATTTGATTCATGGTTTGTTTACGTCATTGAGTGTTTGCCACTCATGTTTTTAACCACCTTGGGTCCTCATTAGGGAGACAGGGCAAGATAGAAATAAAGTTGTATTATTATTATTATTTTACTGACACAAAACCACAGAACCAGGGTATGCCACAGCAAACAAGAACTATATGCTGGATTTTGTATCACAAAATCACAAGTCAAACACTTCCCAAGCGTCTAGGACTGTGTGATGTATTTCTGAATGATGCGCGCAGATCCAAGTAAGGTGGCATATTTCAGTTGACAGATCATGATTTTGTCAATGTTTATTGTTTCCAAATGCCGGCTGAGATCTTTTGGCACAGCACCCAGTGTGCCAATGACCACTGGGACCACCTGTACTGGTTTATGCCAGAGCCTTTGCAGTTCGATTTTGAGGTCTTGATAACGGCTGAGCTTTTCCTGTTGTTTTTCCTCTATGTGGCTGTCACCCAGTATGGCGACATCAAATTATTATTATTATTATTATTATTATTATTATTATTATTATTATTATTATTAGAGAAAACTGGGGCAATTCATGGCATGACAAACATGAAGGCATATATACACACATAAATGAAAAACAATTTTGGATAATAAAGTATCTTAAAACTGGTCTGGGTGTGTAACAAAGAAACCTGTAAACTTGTAAATCAAAGCACTTTGTTCTGATGCTACAGACCTTCATGCTGTCCCATAGTCCTTTGAGATGTGAGTGTTTATAGAAAGACATTTTTTTAGCTACATTTTCCATTTTGTTACAAATGGCAACAGCCAGTATATGCTTTGGTATCTCAGTGTGTAGCAGGAATTCTTTTCTTTATGCAGACTTTGTTTCAACAT